GAAGCGGCTGCCAAATCCTCGGCCAACTCCTCGGTTTTTCTGCTTTAGTTTCAGTCTGCTCATTTTTTGGTTGTTCATCTATATTTATATGATCTATTTAAATGATCTATATTTAATAAAATATTAGTTTTAAATATTAATTAATAATAATAATTATAAATTATATATATATATATATATAAAGTAATAACACTAAATAGCTAAAAAACAACAACTTATTGACACATAGTAAGAAATGGTTATAAAAACTGAAACAGAAGTGAAACGAGTAATAGGAAAGAGGAGAAATAATAAAAGCAATACTTATTATATATATATATATATAATATTATATAATATCTAATAATATCTAATATCTTATATATATATATTTTTTTTTAATGTGATAGTTTGTATTTATGAATATGAATATAAAAATGTATAAATACTTGCAATTTAATTAATAAATGAATAAATGCAAATAAAAAAAACAAGTATTTTGTAAAAGCATCAATTGTTTAATCGTAAAGGTCCCTCGCACAACGGAAACGGCGGCGGCTACATTTACGGCGGCGATCACACCATCGGAAACGGCAATGGCGGCAACGGTGGCCCGAAGATTCAGATCAGTGAGTGGAAGTTGCCAGTTTTTACCTTCAACTAACAATCCGAAGCTAAGAAATCGATGGTGTTTTATTGTTTGTGCTCAGGCCAGCTGAACGAGACGACGATCGACGTGTGCAAGCATTTTACCAACCTGTGCCTGAACGGCCGCTGCGTTCCCACGCCGACCAGCTACCGCTGCGAATGCAACATGGGATACAGGCAGGACGTGCGCGGGGAGTGCATCGGTAAACCTGTGCATTCATCTTTAAGTGAAAGTCAAGAAAAGCCTGTTTTTTTTTAATGTTGACATGGTCTGAAATGCTGCCATCTGTAGGCAGTTTGCTTGACTTCCACAGGCCTCAGGGTTATAAACATAGCAGATTGTGTCAATATTTTAACACATATTATTGATTAATAGTGTTAATGGTCTCTCATACGTCTGCTTTCTACCCTCAGATGTGGACGAGTGCATCAGTAACCCCTGTGTGAATGGAGACTGTGTCAACACACAAGGATCGTATCACTGTAAATGTCACGAGGGATACCAGGGAACTCCCACCAAACAGGCCTGCATTGGTGTGTGGCATGATATTATTCTATTTTATGCCAAAAGCATTTCTTTAGTTTCTAATTGTAGGGCTAGAACACGTTTAATGCTAACATTTTTACATTCAAAATTCTTTATGGCTAAAAAACAGCTTTAAAGTAGGAAATATCATTACATTATCATTTACAGTCTTGTACTCCATTACCAAAATATTATTTTTAATTGTTTTATTATCATTATTTTATTTTTCTTATTTTTTAAGCAATTAAAAAAAATAAATGCATAATATTTTAATTACAGCTAAATTTAATTGAATTACATATGACCCATTAAAATTTGAATGGAAGCAAGATTATTATATTATATTACATTATATATACACAAAAC